AACATGACCCCTACATGGCCCCATGCAAGTCTAACAACAGCCAATAGAATATATGTTCTTACACAGGAACACGATGCTCAAGTGCAAAGCCCAAGAGGAAGGTATAAAACTTTCTCAACTCCATGTGATCAGCTGCCCAGAACCAATCATGTGGTTCTGCTTCATCCTTAAACCATCTTTCCAATCAGCCTCTAGCTTCCATTTTGTCTCCAGTGCCTTTCCCCCCTGGCTTGGAACTGAACCAGATGGATATTTCTTCCAGCTGCTAGTAGTTTTAAAAATCTATGAAATAGGTGTCTTCCTCTCCTGAACTCTCTTCAGCAGCACTTAAACAAATTTCCTCCTTTTAGTATATCTATTCTAAACTTCAATAGATAGCCATTTGGTAGAAATTGAAAGTTTGGCACCAAGATAGTCTGTTCCCTTCGATGGAATTCTTAACCACTTGAGATCCATTTGGCATAAAGTCTGCATTCGAAGCCACAAAGTGAAAATTTGGGTTTTCCCCAGCTTGTGCCTGATTTTAATTAGGTAATTTGTCTAATTGATTCTCATCCTTCCTACCTTGATTAAAGACTTTGTCTAAGTTTGTTTCTACATGAACACCACTTCTGGACTGTTTTGTAGAAGCTGGCAGAAAGACTCACACTAATTTGGGAATGAGACCATTAAGAAATGTTGATGAGTGCAGAAGTATTGGGTGTTATTGAATTTGAGATCAAAAGGTTAATGTATTTTATTTCTGTAATTGTTTCAAAGCGAGTTGGGAGTTATTTCTTCTTTTTTTTCTCCTTCTTCTTTTGAAATTCCCCCTTCCCCTGTTTTTTCTACTTTAATAATTCTTTGTTTATATTTATTTTCTGCAGAAAATTAGTGAACTACATGAAGAAATGTAGTTCACTAAAAAGAATAAAGAAATGGTGGAGACCATGCAGATAAAGAAAGAAAAGGATCATTTGTTTGCAAAATTCAAGGGCTTTCTTATTTTTAATTACTCCAGAATTAAAGGTGGAGTAGAGGGTATACATGTTTTAAATATATCAAGTACTGTAAATAATTGCTTCGCTCCAAAAACAATTTCCAAAGAAAATAGAGCAAAGGAAGAACACTTTTCTGAAGCTGAACGTTCCTCTGTTCTTTGTCCTTGATTGACATCTGATTTTGTTTTTTGGTGAGAGAAAAAAAAAGGATGACAATTGTTAAAGGTATAGGTCACCATCGTGTGGCCAAACATAGGAAGTACAGAGAGAAAAACAAACTTCGAAAAAGTATCTTTGGGACAACCATGACTGAGAACCTCCACAGACAAGGGGGTCCTTGGTGGTCTCTGAGCTTGATGGTTTTCTTACAGACCTTTCATTACCAAACTAGATAACATCCTCCCAAGAATTTAGGTGAGTGTCATGCCTGCAAGCCATCTTTTCTTTTAGGACTTCAGGCCTGCCACGCATTCTAGTGTGGGAAAATGGGAAGGGGGATTTTATGGAGTTGGGTGACATTATGTAGCCATAACAACATTCTTCTTAGAAAGCCAAGGTCATCTTTGTCTCTGCACCTGGCCGGATCTGGATGGGAGGAATCTGTCTTCGTGGCAGTGGCAGATTGGACCATGCAATGAACTTGTGGGTGTTGTTTTCCCAGATGCGCCAACATGGCTCTTTTAATAAATTGCAATTTTGAGGAACCCCTTGCCTCTGATTTTTATTTTATTTTGGATGCTATTTGGAACCCTGACAGTGAGTTTGATGAAGTATTTTCCTGCCAACTTTGACATCCTGGGTTAAGCAACTACCCATGTGTTATGGTTTTATTCACAATGGTGTGTGTGTGTTTGTGTGTGTGGGTTCCGGATCCCGTTGCAACCCCGTGTTCTCCACATGAACATGTGAGGTGCGCATGCACACGTATGCAATGTGCGTATGCATCTTACCATCCAGCAACGCCTCCGCAATGCTCCAGCCGTTCGGCAGAGCATTGCGCAGGCACTGTACGTGCCATGCGCGGAAGCGCCGAAGGGTTTAAAGACAGGTAAGGAGCTTGGGCAGGTAGGTGGGCCCTCCGGAGCACCATACTGGAACGGTACCCAGTGCTCCGGGCAGGCTCCGGTATGCCCATACTGGGGCATACCGCCTGCAACCTACCACTGGTGTGTGTTTGTTTATTTGGTTGGAAATGGGCTGATGGGGGAAGACTGATGGGTATGTGAAGACCCATTGTGTTCAAAATGGTTAATGTATGTAATGGGACAGTGCAGGCTTCTTTTAAAAAAAGTTTTCAAAAGGAGATGTGATGTACCAAACATCAAATGTGATGTAATATTTGGTCATCAACCTACCTGCCTCCACCACAGCAAAAGTCCTACAATTTGCTTGCTAACCTGATTTCTTGGTCAAAAATGGAACTGAATTTGGTATTTATTCCTATTGTATTTGTACCAGAAACTTCGTACAAAAACAACCACACTGTAGTTTTGTTGACTATGCTGTTTTGAATTAATGAAGAGACAACCACATACGCATTATGTAACACTTGGTCAAAACTTCCTGTTGTTGTTGCAGACGTCTTGCCAGAAATATTCACACGCTTATATTCTCAGATTTGCCTGTAGAGGACACGAGATGAGAAATGATCAGAAACCATTCCTCCTCTCACCCCTCAACCCACAAGACATTGCTTGAGACCTGAGAAAGGAGATAGAGCATTAGAAAGACACTCAAAGTGACTCTTCTCTGACCCAATGAAGTCTAAGTGGGAAGGAGCCACAGTACAATCAAAATGCTAGGAATCTGTTTTAACAGATTAACAGAGTTGGAAGGGACCTTCTAGGTC